AACATACCTATTAATATTATATTTAATTTCTCTCGAAAGATCCTCCTAAATGTTACAAACTGGAGCTTAAAAAAATTCAGGTGTGTTCACACCTGAACACAAGCTATATTAACAGAGCCTTCGCTTTCTGCCAAACAGCCTCGTCCTCCGGCCAAGTGTCAGGGAGAAGAAAACTGAGAGCCTATTAAATGTGTTTGATTGTCAAAATCTAAGAAAAAACATAACCCATATAGAATTGTGTAAAAAATTGCTATGTTCTTGCATTCACTATTTGGGTTCATTGGACAGTTTATCAGTTGTTCTGTACTGTTACTGATATGTTATATATGCATTCAATATAATATGAAATATCCAAAAATATGTCACTGACAAAATATTTCAGTTTACTCAATGATAGAAAAGGGGTGCCTTATGGAAAAAGTTTGGGAACCACTGGCCTAGGGAGAGGGGAGTAACACAAAACTAGATAAGAATATAAGGAGTCAATTTGTTCAGTATTTCTTTAAATATTTACAATAATACTTTTGCAAGAAGTACTGCTGTTTGTTTTTTCCCCAGCTGATTTATTAGCTTAATAAACAGTTCCCTAATGAGTTTATGGTCTCAATCTCTAGTTTCAAGTATTCTTCCATACAGCATGATGTTCATTTAGTAACTTCTGATCCTATTTAGAGGAAAATAGACGATAAAGCAGTTTATGCTTTAGGACGGTCTACTTTGTGATTAATAAGTAATTCTCAGTGAGTCCGTCCAGCTCAACACACAAAACTCCTCTCAAACTGTCCAACTAGGCAGTGCTGATGAAATATGAATCAACTCAAGGAACTGAACTCAAGGCTTCAAAAAGGGTCCCCAGAAACAAATGTGTGACATCACGACTGGTTCACACTTGGCTAAAATATCCAACAGTCCTCTGTTTAAACCCAGCATTCACATGCTGATCCCATACTTGTCACCATAGTTATAAAATGATCTTGTGTAAATATAGGCCATACCTCTGATGCAGATGCTTTTTAACAATCCCCCTGGTTTCGCTTGTCAGTTTGTGCTGAAGTCGCGCATCGACTGTCTGTTATTGGTTTGTTTTACTTTTACACCAGAGTTTACTTGGACCACCTTTTTGGGCAATCTCAGTCCAGTTGTTTATAGCACACCAGCGTTTGATTGACAGCTTTCACACCAGCCAAAACTAATCAATATATGTTTGTTTAAACGCAAAAGACATTTTGTAAGTAATACGTTTGTATAATAACAGTTTTCTAATTAAAAAACAATTAATTGGATTTGATTTAATTCGGATTTGTCTTCCTTCTTGCAGGGAAACTCAGATTTACTTAGTACCATTGCACCGACACATGCCTCCACATCCCTGTTCATTGATCATGAACTGGCAAACCCTGCCTGTGGACTGCAGCCCTGCTCTAACAGCCAACCAGAGAGGAAGCATGATGCAGTCCTAGCTATGGTAACCACTGAGAACTCTAGCACAACAGCAAAGGAACAGGGAAGTCCTCCGTTATTGGAGGAGAGAACACAAGGGGAGGACTCTACTGTTGTCACTCATACATCTTGTAACAGTCTTTGTCAGAGGCAGGAAGCTGGGGCAAAAGAGAAGGGCAAACCAGAAGCTAACTCTCCTGCTGGCCGTAACAGGAAAAACAAAAAGAGAAATACAAAAACCACAAGACATGCACCAGAAGACAGAAGCACCCAAGAGGCCAGTAGAGGGACTGCACAGAGAGCCACAAAGACAACAGGAAGTAGAACAGAGACAGACGTAACAATTTCACACACAGAACCAGCAGTGGCGTCTGTGATTGGTGATGGAGGAGCTACAAAAACTCCCTGTTCTCCCGAGACGGAAAAGACCCCATCACCCATAAAGCCAGTGTTTGCACCAGCTCGTGATGGGAAGTGTGCTAGCAGGAAGGCAGTTGCCTTGCCTACCACCACCGTCGTAGAAAAACAGGAAGGAGAGAAGTGGGAAGTTGACCTGCTCATATGTGAGCGAGTTGTAGAGACAGAAACTGTGACAGAGACAGAGCAGGGAGACACTGAAAGTCTCCCTGCAAAAGAAGCTAACTTTAACTTAGCTTTGGAATCAGCTACAGAGAGGACAGGTAAGTTTATCACAGTACTCAAAGAGTTAGATTTACTCGATGAATAGGGGCAAATTATTAAAAAATTTTAACGTTTTGATCAAATGAAAAGTTGCTTATTTGAAATCGCAGAGCAGAGATTCTACCACACAAACCTACTGTTGAATGTAATTGGAGGCTCTTTTACCTAAATAAATCAACTTGTGATTTGAGAAACAGATTGGCTGGGCAGACAAAAGAGCAAGTACAGGAACACTCACGCACTCAGTCACACTGACATGTCGTTTTTTGGTTGTCACTGTTGGCCGTTCATTAACTATTATATCCAAGGGGAAAATTAGTTATTTAATGGACCACTGTGTAAGATTTTCTGACATTTAGTGGTGAGACTGCAAAACAACTTGCCCCACCCTCCCCTTCCAAGTCTGTAGGAGAAAAACGCAAAAAGCCCCATCTAGAGCCAGTGTTTGTTTCTTCTGCTAGAAACAAGGCCTATTGCCTATTTACATAACCAGCTGAGACAGAGCAACTTTATTATTTATGCTCTGTGGCATGTTTGTGCCAGTTTATTCTCTTTTAGCTCTGTTTTTGGTCACTAACCCCTGAGGGAAATATCTGACTCTTTAGCTGCTTAAAGCCCCACAATGTTCTAAGTCTCCAACTGTACCTGCTCAGCAGTAAACAGCAAACAGACAGTGTACAACGGGGGTATTGTGACTTTTGCACTGAGAACAGCTGCCTGTGAACCAAAACAGTAAAGATGTGGGCTGTAAAACTTCTTACTTCTAATCTTTCTTACTTACCGTAATTGTGTTTACACAGTTTTTCAGTGCAGTGATGGATTAATATGGAACTGTCGATTTATTGACAACCTCTATGATCATCTATAAACTACCACTGTGACACAAATATTAGTAATTAACTTAGAAATGATTACCAGAACTATAAATATCAGAGCCAAGCTGTTTTGACCAGAATTGTCACTTAAAGATCCCCTTCACTTCCATAAATGTCTTATGTTTATGTCCTCTAAAATGTCTGTCACTGAGAGGTGTTTTCACATTCCTCTACTGAAAGGGCAGATGTCTGTATGGTTCCCTAAAAACTGAGATTCAGATGTACCATGGGCAAGCTAGATTTGGTATGTAACTGGTATCTAACTATCTGAAAGCCAATTGCTGTCAAAGCAAATTCTACAGACAAAGAAACATGAAACCTCAAGCGCAGAGTGGACTGAATTTTTTGACAGCAAACATGGTAGAGAGAACATGGATGTAAACCGGACCCTGAAGCTTCCTTCCACTATCTACTACAATGTGAACACATTATAACACTGTAGCAGATAGTACATGTTTCACAACCACTACAAGTTGCAAGATAACAAGCAACATAAACAAATAAAAGATGCTAATTACACTTACAATTCTGATACGACAGCTATTTGCTGGGGCACAGCAGAGTCCTCATCTGAGTCTCAGTCTCTCTGACTGAGGTTCAAACATGTAGGCTTTGGCTGAATCTCTCAGGTTTCCTCTAAAACTAGCCATCTTGATGCACACTCCTTTTTCACCTCTCAACATAGCAAGCACTGGTGGTAGGCAGGGCATTCATAGATGCAGAATCTGTCAATGAGGGAGTAAGAGTAGATGTTCTTATAGACCCCTTTTTTATCGTTTGTTTGTTGGTTTGTTTTTTGTGGGAAAACCACAAAATATTAATAGTAGCATATATTTTTACATACTTTAAAATGTATTTGGAGTGGAACTTCAAAGAAAACAATTGTTTCTTTTGCAGCCCTTAATCTACTCCTCTCTTTTTTCAGTAACCATGGGTCAGGAACAATCACAGGATCCCCAGGAAAGCCAATCAGACCCAGAGGAGCCAAGCCAACCTGGCACCATGAGCAAAAGTCCTCACCCTGGAAGGAGGACTAGCCCACAGTCCCCAGACACAGAAAGAAAATCCAAGAAAGGGCTGTGGCGGGATGGTGGTCGCATTGGAAGCAGAATGGGATCACCCCCACGTGGACAAGAAACAGTAGCAAAAACAGTCTGGTATCAGGATAAAAATATGGACCAGAGTGTAAGTGAAGATTGGAACAGAAAGGAACTGAACTCTCAGTCAGTTTGGTATGACGGTGACACAATGGATCAGAGAAGACATCTGCAGCAGGGAATGAGAGAGCAGAAAGAATGTGATCTGAGCTCACCCCAAGCTTCTGGTCTTAGTTCTCCACAGCTGTTAGAACAGAGTCTTAGTTCTCATCAACTGTCTGTGGCTCTTAGTCAGCCACATGCTGCTGGAACACAGCCAGCACTGTCACATGGGCCTGGTGCACAAAGACGGGAAGTACAAGGATCACAGCGAGAAAAGGAAGTAGGGCCAGATTGGAAGGAGGGAGGGCTGGAGGGAGACAGAGAGGAGGTCAATAACAGAGAGACAACTTACAGCAAAAAGAGTTCAGAAACAGTGGGCATCGAAGAGGGAGGAAATGAGAAGCTAGGGAGTGAAGAGAAAGGAGCAAATGGCAGAAAAAAGAGGAGGAAGAAGAGGGGGAAGAGATGCGGGACAGAGGCCAAGCTTAACTCTGGCTCAAGTGTAGAGTCCCAGAGTCATACAGAGATACAGACACAAAGAGAAGAAGAAACAAACCTGAATGTTCTGTCAGAGACAGAATCAGAAGCCAAGGATAAAACAGGAAGGGCAGATGTCCAGTCTCCCGGTGCTTCTGAGCTAATCCAGAGAGAGGAAGCTGACAAGGACGCCATGAATTTACCCAGCCAGACGGAGAGTCAGAGCAGGGACACTCATGGATTTGACTGTGTCGTTACAAACTTGGATCCTAGTTATACTACTCCGGACTTCAGTCCAACAGACGATGAAAGAAAAGATCTGACTGAAGTTACAGCTTCACAGACATTAGAAATAGAGGAGGACGCAAGCATGAACTTTCATGGGCCTGATGACTTTAACCTACATTCTACTGTCATTGCTTCAGAACTTGGTGAAATTGACATCAGAAAGGCAGATACAGAGGGAATTACAACTGTGCAACTAATAATAAAGGAAGTACACCCTACAGAACTGGAATTAAAGAAGCTTACCCATCCAGTCCAACAAACAATGCATAATGTAGAGTCAAAGGCATTATCAGAAAATGAGGATTTGGCAGTTGCTGGTGAAGTTGTAGCTTCCGGTGACCGGACAGGTTTAGTTGAATTGAACTGTCCAAAAGAACTTCCTGTCAAACATTCAGGTTCTACAGAATTCACACAGGACTTGTTTCTCATTGAATTTCCTGAACAAAATATACAACATGTACAATATGTGGACTTGGACAAACCAGTACAGCCTGTGGATCCAAAGGGAAGACCTGAAGAACCTATGGAAACTGTGCATTCTACAGAAGCTGAGGGTCTTCCATTTGAAGGTACTGCAGATGTGTCACCACTTCAGAAAGGGGAAGGAAGGGCTGAGACAACTCAGAGGGAATATTTAGAGCATTGTTCGGCCTCTGAGATGCTGAGAGATCAGCAGCACAAGGAGGAAAAGAAAAATGAGTTGAGGGTGGGTGAAGAGGAAGTGGGTAAGGAAGGAAATTGGATGAGTGAAGAAAATGACAGTAGGGTGACACATGGCAAGACGTTATCTTCCATAGACAGTGAAAAAGAACAGAACTACAATGAAGACTTGGTTGCCACAGCAGTAGCAGTTGTAGCAGTAGCAATAGCTTCAGCAATAAGCATAGAATTGAGACATCAGTTAGCAGACAATCAGTCTGACAGTCAAGAGTCTGCTAGTAGAGAAACAGCATTTGATCAACCATTAGCACAGGATGGCAAAGTACCAACTGATACATTAAACCAGCTGGCAGACAATTTACTTAGCACTGTTCAATCCACACAACTGTCTGCACAGCTGATGGACGAGAATTGTCAACTGTTAGCTGAGACAGAAAATCAACATATAGGACATTCACACATTGGACCTACTGATCAGTTCTCCTCCAGAGAACAAGTTTATGTTGAAATACTATCAGAGGAGTGTAACACTGAGACAGAGAAGCTACCAGCAGCATGGCCAAGTAGCAACCAGCAGGCTAACCTTGACCTGTCAGTACTTGCAGATACGCGTAGTTTAACTCAACTCGACAAAGTCTTTACATTATGTTCACTACCTAAAAAAGACAGTCTACTGCAAGTTAATATGAAACCTTTGCCAGATACAAATGAAATGATTACAACCGTGGTAGGCAGCCAAGGTCATGGGCAGACAAAAATCCAGCTGCAAGAAGAAAGCCAACCCTCCTGTCCTGTTGTAGACACAGGACAGCAGCCAGAAGCTTCTGACACATACTGTCTTGATTCTGAGGAGAATCCCAGACCAGCAGTCTGTAGAGACCCCCAAAATCAGTCTTTTTGTCAGAAAGAGAGTGGGATACAAGAGCATGAGAATGATCCTCAGCTTGATGGCCAGGTTAAAACACCACACAAAGAGGAGAGTCCTACTGTTCCATTTTTTGGCGGGTCAACACTTCCTGTTACCCCCTGTGACTTGACTCCAATAGCTCATCCCAGGCCAAAAGAACCAACTGCCCCTGTGAATGTGGAAACAGGCGAATACCAGTTATGCCTAGCCGACATGAAACTTGTTCCTGCCATCCCTCTCGATGCTTGCACTGCCACATTACAGGACAAAGGTCAGGAGTCTGTTGCTATGGATAATGAGGAGGGTGTGTTTGAAGGGCTGGATGAAGACTCAGGCACTCTGGATACAGTGGATAGATGGAAGGAGATGCAAAAGAACAAGATAAAAAGTGAAGAGGAAGCAAGGAAAGAAAGAGACACAGTGGAGGACACATCCCAGACAGGTAACCAAGTGAAATCAATAACTGTCCTACCTTTTACAGAATGTTTTTTAACAAATCAACAGCAGTCCCAGTACAGAAATTCTGGTTCCTATTCTCCATCCATTTTTCTCTCTCGTATATTAACCCCTGTCTTTACTTAAACTGAATAATTTAGGGAAGATATCTAATTCAGATTTTTTGACAAATGTGATTATTTGCTTTTATTTAAACTCAAAGCCTATGTTGGTGGTCTACTTAAAAAGTCAGTTTGTACAAAGCAAATCACATTTGTGGTTCGACATGAAAAGATTCAGATAAAACAGATGCAGTTGCTTGTTATTAAGGTCCTGTCTAGTTGCGTTCAAGTTAAAGTAAACCTAGCTAACTTTTATAGAAAGAAGTGACCAATTTAAGTCACATGTTACATTAGTGGTGTATTAAACTTTTTTTTTTTTTTATTAAAAAGTGATGTTATTTATATAATCCAATATCAAAAATCACAAATTTTATCAATCAGTACAGTATACCCTCTAGCCTTAGACCCTCGATTCAGATAAGAAAACAACTTCCTTAAAAATGGAAGAAACCTCAGGAAGAGCTGCAGAGGAGGGATCTTTCTTCCAGGACAGACATGAAATAGATTTAATTTGTTCAGAATCAGAATCAGAATGAGATTTATTGCCAGGTAGGTTTTTACACATACAAGGAATTTATCTTGGTGCAATGGTGC